GTGTCCCGACTAACGAGTTTTTCGAGATACGAAACGTCTCTTGGCCAATTTTTTGCTTTGAGCTGCGAGCTAAAATTCGGTGACGAGCCAGCTTCAGATACCCCACAGCTAGTTGGCACAGCGAAAGTCACAGTGAACGCCACAACATCAGCCCAGCATCACGTGTCTCACTCATTCACTTTAATGATTTGACATATGAGTAATTTGAGTTATGAGCTCTGTCACCGAACGAATTAAACTCGTAAGTCAAGGCCCCACTGTACTTCCCAGTGAATTACCACATTTGCTCATTCTAATGGGAACTGAGATTGATATCGTGTGAACAAAGATGAAATAGTCCCCAAACCGGCTTTGAAAGTATTCACTGTAGAGTAGGTAAGATACACATTTTAACCAGAAGCTCACAAACGTGTCCTGTAAACTATCATTACTCAATATTGTAGACTTTGCAGGCCTTATTCTTTCTTGCCACTACTAAGTTCTACCACTGTAGCTTAAAAATAGCCACATGCAAAACATAAATGCTGAGTGTAGCTGTATGCTAATAAAACATTATTTATGCAAACTGAAATTGGATTTCATATTAATTTTTAGTGTCACAAAATATTATTTTAAAACTTAAAAGCTGTTTTTACCAATCCAAAAATAAAACAAAACTTCTTTAGTAAGCAAGTAAAACCAAAACATGCAACTGGCTGAATTAGGCATATAGGCTGTAGTTTAAATTACCTATGATCTAAACAATAAACCAAACTCTCTAATATACTTGAATTAGTAATTGAAATGTCAAAAAGTATTTCCCAGTTTTACATGTAAGGGAATAGAAATGCAGGAAAATAAATAGACTTGCCAGTTTTAATACAGATAATAAGCAGAGAAGCTGTAACTCAAACCCAGCTCTTTGCTCCCTAATCATTATTATCTCATGAAGGCAATGAGTCTACTCAACAATAGGTGTGATGTATGGTAGCCCTTTTAGGTTATGTGTGACATCTTAAATAAAATTATATTCTTGTTTTAATGGGATTTACTCCACACTGTTCAACTTTTGAAAAACTAAAAAATAGACTACATGGTCTATGGTGTTTTTAAGTGATTTCCAAAAAGAGAGAACCCTGCCTGGCTGGTTTTGCTTAGTGGTTGAGCATCAACCTCTGAACCAGGAGGTCACAGTTTGATTCCAGGTCACGGCACATGTCCAGGTTGTGGGCTCAATCCCCAGTGTGGCGCATGCAAGAGGCAGTTGATCAATGATTCTTTCTCATCACTGATTTTTCTTTCTCCCTTCCTCTCCCTTTCTCTCTAAAATCAATAAAAAAATAAATTTTTAAAAAAGAGAACCCTTTTGTTTCAAAACTATAATGATAGCACCATATAATTTGTTCCAGGAGTGAAGGATTGACTCTCTAACAAATATGCTATTATATCTTCAGTATACAAAATATTCAATTATTTAAAAATATCTTTAACAAGTCTATGAGCTTAAATTAATAAGATATAGACACATGTTAGTTTTGGTATTGGATTTCTCATGACCATTTCATTCTGGAAAAAAATTAGGAGTATCAAATATACATACATATAATATATATATAATTTGTATATATGTGATCCATATATATATCAAATATATATATATATATCAAATATACATGCATATATTAGTTATACTATTTACCATTAGAAATGGCCTTATGATCATGGCTTTAGCCATATATATATGTCTGAGTAGTGAATAACATATATTGACTGATGTCAACAAAATAAATTCCCTCATTATAAATCCAATCATTGACTAAAAAATTATCATAAAAATATGAGAAGTTGACATGTATCAAAAATACTCAGGCTTGAGTTTTTATCAGAAGTCCAGTGTTATCTATACTAATAAAAGGGTAATATGGTAATTAGACCAGGAGACCTTCCGGGAGACCAGCTGGGAGGCCAGTTGGGGGCCATGAGGCCAGCAGGGGAGGGCAGTTGGGAGCCATGAGGCTTGCTAGGGAGGAAAGTTGGGTGCAATTAGGCCTGCGGTGGCAGGGAAGTTGGGGGAGAGCAGGCTGATGTGGGGGGGAGTTTGGGGAGATC